TTTTCTGTGCCAAATGTGGTTTTCTCTGTGTTTGTGTTATCCCTCTCCTCTGTGGTGAACTAGTGCCACTGACACAACCAGCTTGGTTCCAATGTATTTCTACTTTTTGTTCAATGCACCTGAATTTCTGAGTCTCTAAGAGCCTCTGATGGTTTGATATTAAATTTCAGTGAATTTCCTCTTTCATCCACCTAACTGAGAAGCAATACCCCTACTCCTTGAAACCTGATCCACAGAGCAACTAGAAATGCAGACATCCTCTAATGTACCATCTTGAACCTCTCCTCTTTGGCCATTTTTAAGTTGTGTTACTTGTTTTGTTATTAGGAACTTTGAGTTCCTTGTATATTTTGGATAGTCACCCCTTGTGTGAAGTATGATTTATAAATACTCTCCAAATGTGTGAGTTGTCTCTTCACCCTCGTTTTCCGTGCTCTGAAAAAGAATTTTGGTTCAAAGCTATTCAATTGTTCTATTTTTGCTGTGGTGGCCTGTGCTTTGGGGATTATATCTGAGAGAGTTCTCTCTAGACCCATGTCAGGAACTTTGCTCCTGTGTTTTCTTTTGGCAATTAGTTTCAAGTGGGACTTTGTTTTTTTGTAAGATTTATTGCTCTTCTGCTCAAGCTGGTCTTGAACACATGTGCTGTTTCTGCATCAACCTCTCAGGAAACTGGAACTATGGGCCAGCTCTAACACCGCCTGCTTCAGGTGTTACATTTAAATCTTTAATGCATTTTGAGTATGATTCTCATACAAGAGCTTATATGAGGGTCTATTTTTATTCTTAAATTTGTGAATACCTTTTTTTTCAACAGCTTTTATTGAGATACCCATTTCATATTTTGTATTCTTGACACCTTTGTCAAGAATGCATTCACTATACATGTGTGGGTTTATTTCTGAGTTCTTTTCTATTGGTCATAGCATTTGTTTTTATGCCAATACCATGCTGTTTTATTTACTGTAGTTTTGTAATCTATGTTGAAATCTGGCATTGTCCTTTTTGGTCAATATTACTTTGTTTTTTGGGGGGTCTGTTTTAGTCAGATTTTTTTTTTTTTTTTTTTTGTTTTTTTTTTTTTGCTGCTATGAACAAAAGAGACCTTACCAGAACAATTTTAGAAGAGGGAAAGTTTATTTTGGAGCTCATGGTTTCAGAGGTCTCCTCCATAGATCCCTGGCTCCACAGGGCCGGAGGTCAGGCAGGATATCATGGCAGCTGACTGAGGTAGAGGAAAGCCGCTCAGGACATGGTACCAGAGAGCAGAAAGAGTGAGCTCCAGCCACCAAGGACAAAATATGTTCCCAATGACCCACCTCCACCAGTGGCACCCTACCTGCCTACAGTTACCACCCTGTTAATCCCTTCTGTGAATAATACACTGATTATGTTAAGATTCTCAGAACCCAATCATTTCACTTCTAAACTTTCTTGCATTATCTCACACATGAGCTTTTGGAGACACCTTCTATCTAAACCATAACTGGGTCTTTTATGGTTTCATATGAATTTTAGAATTTTTTCCCAATTCTGCATAGAATGAAAATAGAATTTTGATAAACCTGTTTTTCATCTTTCCTTTTCCTTTTTCATTTTTGTGGTGCTGGGATTAAACCCATGACCTCAAGCATGCCAAGCAAGTGCTCTGCTACTGAGCTACACTCCCAGCCTGATAACCCTAAGTTTCTGCTGGAGCCTTCTGTCCTTGGGTTTTCCTTTCATCTCCACTGCTCTGATCCATCACCGGCAGGAATCTTGGTGCTGACATTTGCCTTAAGCACAGTGCAGGGCACCTTGACCTCCCTGCTCTTCTCAGCCCTGCATCCTCTTTCTCCCTATAGTGTAGGCATCTCCTTCTTGATGGACCTTTGCCTGCTTTCATCTAAACCCTCACCCTTTCAAGGCCTCCACACTCCACCCTACTCTCTTTCCCTGGTCCCTCTGTATCTCTCCACTGTGGGACCTTTTCCTGCACACACCACCTGCCTAGCTACCCTGAGCCCTCACCAACTTCCATCTGTCACAAGCCCCCTCTGATAGGACCATTGCAATCACTACAGCCACTCTCATCTGCCTTCATCCAGAACAACACCCCTGTCCTCATCCTAACCCAGGTTTTTCCAGGGTCACCTGTAAGCCATGTTCACCCTGCATACTCCAGGTCATTCCTTGCCCAGGTCACTAATCTCTTTGCACTTCCCATCTCCCTCCCCATCCATACCAGAAGAAGGCTCTTGGTCCACCTACTTCTTGACCTTCCCCTTTCTTTTTGGTTCCTTTACCTCAGAGGACTTTGACTCCCTTCACCATGCATCCAAAATCTGTGTTTTGCTACTCGGTTGCTCCTGCTGTTCCTAACTCTTCTTCTCCCAGCACCAGCTTCCTCCTGGAATGTTTTTTGTTTGATCTCTCATTTTTTGTGGTGGGCATTGATCCCATGACCTCAACCATGCACTCCTACACTGAGAAACCCCCAAACCCCTGTAATTGTTTTCTAACCTGGTGCTTTTTTGGGGTGTGACCAGCTCCCACCACTCTCTCCCACTCGGAAGGACCCCCAAGTTGTGCAACTTGTCCACCTGCCTTGATTTTCTCTTCTCAGGCCTACACTTCCTTCTTCTTCCTGTTTCTACATTAATCTGTAGTATACTTCCCTGATTTCTGTTTGGTGTTTAATTGTGGTAAAATAGACATAATGTACAGTTTCCTATTTTAACCATTTTAAGTGTAAAATTCAGTGCCATTCAGTGTATTTACATTTTTGTAGAAACTGAAACTCTGTACCCATTAAACAGTAAGCATCCATCCTCCCCACCCCAGTCCCTGTCATCTCTCTGCCATCATTCTACATTCTGTCTCTATGAATTTGACTCCCTAGATGCCTCATACAAGTGCAATCATGCAGAATTTGCCCTTTCATGACTGGCTTTTCCACTTAGCTAATGTCCTCAAGATCATCGATGGTGTAGCAATTTTCAGGATGTCCTTCCTTTTTAATGCTGAATAATGTTCATTTTGCATATAAGCCATATTGTGATTAGATGTTTGTTCATCAGTTGATAAATACTGGGGTTACTTTTACCTTTTGGCTTTTGGGAACAATGCTACTATGAAAGTCATGTACACATACCTCTGCATTTCCCTGACTTCACAACTTTTGTGTTTATGTCCAGAAATACAATTACTACATTATATAGAAAGTATCTTTTCCATATTTGGAGGAACCACCATACCATTTTCATAGCAGTTGCTCCATTATATATATAGGCAAGCAATGCACCGTGCTGCAGTTTTCTCTGTAGTTATGAACTTGTTCATTCTACATTCTTTTTTTCTAAAAAGTAGCCATCCTCATGAGTACAAAGTAGAATGTCACTGTGCTTTCAATTTTATTTCCCTACTGACAGCTGATGTTTGAGTATCTCTTTGTGTGCTTATTGGCTATTTGGGTATCTACTAGACAACTGGCTGTAGTGATATTTTGCCCAATTCTGAATAGATTCAACATTTTTCTTATTTTTGAGTTTTTGAGATTCTTTTATGTTTGCTTGTTTTATGGAGCTGGGATCAATCTTAGGCCCTTGCACATGCTAGGCAGGTGTTCTACAGCTGAGCTAACCCCAGCCGAAGATATATTGATATATTTGAATGTTCATCTCTTATTAGATATACGACTTGCAAATTTTTTCTCCCATTTCACATGTCCAGGTTGGCTTTTAACTTCCACTCATCTGCTTCAGTTTCCTGAGTATCTGGGATTACAGGCACATATCACAATATGTACCAGTCAGTGTGTTTTCTTCTAAGAATGTTTGGTTTTATAGTCTGCATTTTTTTTTCATTTTGAGTTTGTGTGTGTGTGTGTGTGTGTGTGTGTGTGAGTGTGTGAGCTCACTCACATTTGCAGAAGCTAGGCAAGCACTCTATCATTGAGCTATATCCCCAGTCCTGAGTTAATTTCCAAATATGAGTAAGAAAAGGATCCAACTTCATTGTTTGTGGAAATCCAAATTTTCTAGTACATCTATTAGAAAGATACATTATGTTTGTGGGGGGCTATGGAAGAATAGAGTTACTTTGGATTAGATAAAAGGAAGTGAAAGGAGGGGAGAGGGTATAGAGTAAGAATGATAGTAAAATGAATCGGAGATTATTATTCATATGCATATATGATTGCACGACTAGTATAACTCTACATCATATGCAATCAAAACAATGAGAAGCTATATATACTCCATCTACATATCATGGGTCAAAATGCATTCTACTGTCACATATAACTAATTAGAACAAATAAAATAAATAAATACATAAAGAAATACATAAAGAAAAAAGAAAAGCTACATCAGATCTTTGGAAACACTGCTACCTGCTTTTTCCCAGGGGAGGATGCTACTAGGACAATTTAAGTCCCCCACCTGAGGCTTCCAGATGCTGATCATTTACTTTGGACCAAGCCCACTGCTTCACTTCCCTTTAGGGTACAACCCAACTCAACACTTTGGGGCCACAACCCTCACACCCACTTTGACCCCCTGTCTGCCCCACCTTATCCATGAGAAGTCTGTACATGGACAGAACACACACACCCTCTGGGGACCTGCCCTGCCTGGGCTCCACTTCAGTGACCATAGTTCCACCCAACCTCTGCCCTTCCTTTGCCCTCTCTGTCCTCTGACAAGCCCTGCCATGCACCTCTGCCCCTCCCACACCTCCCTTGCCTCTGCAGGTCAACCTCTCCCCTTGAACACCCACCTGTACCCTTAAGAACCCATGCCTATGTCTTGGGCCCTGGCCAACTTGCCTGCCCCACTCCCCTTTCTCCATTCCTCACTTCCACTCTCCTTCCTCTCTAGTTCCCTGTCTTCACTGTATTAGAAACCTTTCTTCTGTCCCTTTGTCTCCTCAGGTGCTCAGGACAGCAGAGCCTTTGTGATGAGCATTGATGAGCACTTGTTCACAGGTAGAAGGGTCATCTGTTGCTTCCTCTTCCACAGGGACCCACAGTCTTCACTATAACCTCACAGTGAGGTCCCAAGGTGGATCAGTGCAATCAAGGTCCTTTGCCAATGGTTATTGGGACCGTCAGCTCTTCCTTCACTTTGATAGTGACAAAAAAGAAAGTGCAAAGCCTCAGGGGCCATGGGCAGAAAAACCTTTGGGAACTGAAAGCTGGGACACAGAGATCCAGGAGTTGGCAGAGCACAGCAAGAATCTAAAAGCAATCCTGGCAGATATCAATGCCTGGCAAGAGCAGAAAGGAGGTGAGTGTGGGCAGGGGCAAGTGTGATGTGAGGCTTTCTCCAGGACCTGTGTCTTCTCACTGCAATTGACTGGGGAGGGCAAGAAATGGGCTTTATACAGACCTGCACTGGGGACTTGGAGGAGAGCCAGGTTGGGGTCCCCTGTGGGCTAGTATTTTTTACTTGGTGGGCAGGGAGGCGGAGGGCCCAGGGGATGGAAAAGTGACTGGTGGGTGGGGGCAGGGTCTCATTTCCTCCAGGAGACTTGGGGCTGCAAGATTCACAAGGACAACCGCACCAGGGCCTTCTGGAATTTCTACTATGATGGGGAGCCCTTCCTCTCCTATCATCCAGAGACACACAGCTGGACAATGGAGCCATCCTCAGTTCAGAACTTGGCTATGGAAGTCAAGAATTCCTGGGATGCAGATGGCATGCAAAGCAAGGATTACTGGGCCCAAGTTCAGGGAGAGATGTGTGGAAGACTCAGGAGATATCTAGTCTTCTGGAAGGACTCCTCCTACTCCCCTGGAGCCTCTGCCCAGAGGACCTTGTGTGAGTTTATCGTGTTGTGATTTGCCTGTCCTGTCACACTGCTAGATAGAGACAGGAGGGTGTATGTGCCCAGACACTAGTGAGCCCTCACCTCCCTGCCTGCCTGCTATCATAGAGAGCTCCCACCTGGCCCCACAACCCTGGACCCCCCAAAATACCCCTCATCACCTCACAAACCAGAATTCCTATAACACCCCCTATTTAACATAACACGTTGAAGTGAGACTGTGAGGCCACAAGCCCAGCGACCATCCTCCTGCCAGTCAGAGGACTCGGGCTCCAGGTTGAAAACAGACTTGTGGACCTCACTTCAATGAGGTCTTAGGCCAGAGTCAGAAGAGGGGAGAAGGGGAGTGAGGCTTGGTCACATGCCTGACTATTTTTGCCTTTATTTCCCTCCAGTGTCCCCAGTAGTGAATGTGACCTGTGCTGAGGCCCTGGAGGACACCATCAATGTGACATGTTGGGCTTTTGGCTTCTATCCCCAGAATATCTCTGTGACCTGGCTTCAGGATGGGGAACCCCTGAGCCAGGGCACCCAGCAGTCTGGTGGTATCTTTTCCTGTGAAAATGGGACCTACCAGACCTGGGTGTCTACCAGGATTCCCCAAGGACAGGAGCAGGGGTTCAGCTGCCATGTGGGACACAGTGGGAACAACAGCACTGGCCTTGTGTCCTGTGGTGAGCCTGGGGGTCCCAGCAGGGTTTCCCAACCAGGTGACTCAGTGACCAGGGTGGTGAGAGGGGAGAAGCCTTGAGGCTCAGTACCCAGAGTGTAACAATCCTGCTTTCAGGGACTGCACTGCTGCTTCCGAGCCAATGGGCTGCCTTCCTGGGTGTGGCTGCTGCTGTTGCTGCTGTGATTATGATTATTGTTTGTGTCTGCTCCTGCAAGAAAAGGAAGACAAAATCTACTGCAGAAGGTTCAGGTGAGAAAAGCATTCAGTGGCTGGGGATTTCAGGGCCTATTTGGAATGTAGGGTCTCTTGTGCCTCCCGCTACACAGTGGAGGTGACCAGCTTTCTGGAACAGAGGATGGAGTTCTGTCTCCAGCCACACCCCTTAGTCTTGCCAAAAGCCAGGGCTGTATACATTTCTGAAGGTCCAGCTGCAGCCTCTGTGGCTGCAGGGTGAGGAGTGAGCAGCAGTGGGGCCGTCGCTTCTGCTGTCCTCCTCTGTCTCTCAGGCTTTCCTGGCTTGACCAGGGGGCTATGTTGGGAATGGAGGGCTGATTGGTGTTGGCTAGATTATCTTGTCCTCAGGGGGACAGAGAATAAATGAGTTGTGACCCTAGGGTACTTAGAAACTGGAGAGGAATTTCATGAATTGTGATGCCACTGGTCCCTCCCCTCACTCTCCCCCAGTCTCTCCAGCTGTCAGGAGCAAACCAGGAAAGAGATCCATAGGGCCAGAGCCCTGTCAATGCAGCCCCTGGGAGGCCTATGTAGAGCAGGCCCTGCTAGTATCCTCTGGGTCACTTGGGCATGCCAGTCACCATCCTGTCCCCACTATACAGTTCTTCCTCCTGGAGTGGCCTTGCAGATGACATGGACAGGAGAATGGCTTATGTCCTTGGTCATCTGGGGAGAGAGACCAACCCATTACAGGGCATCTGTGGTCACTGTTTTTCTCTTATGTCTGGAATTTTCCAGTGTATCCCCTAGGAGTGTTGGTCCCCACAGGCTAGGGCACACAGTCCCATAGCAGGGGCCCATTCAGGTGACTCTACAAGTAGGGTAGGCAGCTCTGTGGTCTCTGCTGCTCCCATCTATGGCCTTCCAAAAGGGGGAACAAGGGCAATGCTAGTTCTACTTTCTTGTGGTCAGAAATGGTTGCCTGGAATGTCACTAGGGCAGTGCCCAGGAAAAGAGTGGGAAAGGCCTATTGCTTATTTTTGCAAATTTCTACTTTGAATGTTGAATCTCAGTAAGGATGTTCCCAGTTTCAACTGTATCATGTGAATAAGCAGTTCTCCAGCACTCACGTACTAATGTGCACTAAATGTCACCCTTGGAGATCCCTCTATAGGAGTGCCCACTGTGGGAGACCTGGATTGTGACCATGCCAATGCAATGGAACAGATGATAGATGGGCCTACAGTTCACACTGCAGAATCTCAGGAAAATCCTAGTTTTCTTTGGAAAGAAGACCTCTGAGGACTATGAGGATTGTCACCTACAGAAGTCCCTGCTAGGTATGGAGGTAGGGAGTCCAGGGCAGCCTCAGGAAAAAGAAGCCCTTGGGGAAGAGCTGGGTTCCCAGCCGTAGGTAAACCACGCAGGTAGGGGAAGCAAAAGTGCAGATTGAGAGCCTGGGCAGGTGCAGAGGGTCAGTGATTCTGAGTATCCTCTGCATGGGCTTTTACAGGTCAGGGGAGCAGCAGATCATGTGGCAGGTATGCTTTTCCAGGCTAGACCTGCTGGTGCCCCTGGTTTCCTGGTGGACTGTCCAGTTGGGAGTTGCTGGCTCAGGGCTGGGAGGGAGGGATGCTGAGCTGCAAGTGGGGCAGGCCCTGCCGGGTGAGCACCTGCCTCTCAGGGGGGAAGCCTGGGAACTAAATGGGAACAAGGGCTCTGTGTGAGTCCTGTGCCCATCGTGGCAAGAGCAGGATATGCCTTCTCTTGGAGGCCCCCACTCTGTAGGGAATGATTTATCTCTGGAGGAGGTAATCACTTCCAGATCTTGATCCTGAATCCTGCAGCCCTTTTACTCCCTTCTGTGGTGGAAACAGAGACAGGTGACACTGCTAATAGACACAGAGGAGCCTGATAAGGGCAGGAAAATGGGATGAGAGGGAAAAAAAAGTCAGGGCATTTACTTCCCTCAGAGATTGGCCAAATCTGATTTTTGAGGAACTGGGGAGAGAGAAATCCCAAGGCAGTAAATAGCATTATTCTGCGACTAATTGAACACTGACTGGTTCCTCCTTTTCCCCAGAGCCCCTGAGCCTATATGACCCAGATCAGTAGCAGAGGACACCAAGTGACTACACTGGATCCACACAGCTGGGGTGTCAACCTTTGCTGAGAGCTCCTGGGGCTACTGGGGGAGCTTACACTGGGCAGGCCTACTGTGACAAGCACTTTTTGTCTTGGTGCCTTGGTTTCCTCATCTCTACAATGTGGAAACATATGTTTGCTAACAAATGCACCTGTTCTGAACTAGTATCCTTATTATTTTACTGTATTTTAACACATTATATATTGTGGGAGACCAACCTCGCACATGACTTGAAACACTCCCCGACTGGGTGCTGAGGTGTCCAAGTAGCAGAAATGCAGCTGGATTTCCTTACCTTTATTAGGTTCCAGGATGGAGTCCATATAGAGGCATGTCTCACCACTACCTCAAGGACCCAATCACCTCATCTGACCTTGCAAAAATACTGCTCTCCTTGACTTTCATTGGACGGGATTTTCCCCAGAGTTTTTAGTTCCCCAATAAAATCCCACTCCCTAGCTTGTGTTCTATGCCCCCCTCCCCGCCCCCACTCTTGCCTCTCCAGTAAAACCTCACTCCCCCCCCCCCAAACCCTCACTTCCCCCCTGGGGAGCTTGAGGCTGAAAGCTCCAGGAGCCATCCCAGACCTGGTTTAAAGGTAAAATTGTGTGTCTGTGTCTTTATTTCAAACTCCCTGAGAATTTTCCTGTGTGATTGAACCATTCACCATCTGCGCTGGCCGTGGACTAAAATATATAAGTATGGTGATTGTGTTGTAATAAATGAGATTATTTGTAAGTATCCTTATTCTGCCTCCTCCCAAGAAACCTAAAATACATGCTCTTCTTCATTGTTGAGGGAACTTCAAACCCTCTCTGACTGTTTATCTTACCTCTTGTCTGTATCATTTTACATTACGAATGTTTAAACACTTTTAAATATGAAACATATCTGGTCTGTGTTCATGTTCTAGGAAGGGACCGTGTGACAGGGTCAGCAAAAATAACATGTTTGACTCCATGTTTGACAGAGAGTTAAACATATGTTTAACATAGACCGTGTTGAGAGCCAGAGTCTGTGGCATTTTTAAAAATATTTTTAATTGATTTTATTTTTTAAATACATGACAGCAGAATGCAGTATAATTCTTATTACACATACAGAACACAATTTTTTATATCTAGAGTCTGTGGCATTTTGCAGATGATGTTGAATGAATGTGCTGGCTTCAAATTCTGAGGAATTTGGCAGTGTCTTCAGAATAGCTGAGGTGTTGGTGCCAGTCCTTTGCCAGACATCTGCTCTATAGCCTGGCAGAGATGAGCATCCAGAAGGAATTCCCATGGGGCATCCTGAACAGGCACAACTTCCTTTTCTCAGAGATTGCTTAGCAACGGCACCAACACCCCAGTGGTTATTTGCAAAAATAAGCAACAGGCCTTTCCCACTCAAAGGCACAAAAATTCAACTACAGCCTCCTCTTTTATAGCCTAATGTAAATGGCATGTACAAATCCAGATCTTTCTTGTGTGGTTTACGTTGTACGGTGATGTGGCTGGTAAACCCTGCTGTGATAAGATTACTTCCTCCTGTTTTTAGCAAGATTGTCATTTGGGTGTTGTAGCTTCAATATGCAAGGACCTCTCCAGAATGTCAGAGACACCCACTACCCACACAGTCTTCATGCCCTTTGGTAACATAGGCAACTGCTGCTGCCCCTGGACCCTTGGCACAAGCCCGCCTCACACTGCCACTCACTATTCCAACTTCCAGACGCTTACTGTGCATGTGTTTTTCAATTTAATGTTTAAATATGTTCCCTTTACTCCCATGTTTGTCAATCAGGATCATACTCACATGCTAAATGTACAATTTTAAAGTCATCGTTTATTTATATGTATTTTAATTATGGCATATAGAGATGCTATTGAATGTTTTGTTTTCATTACATCCAAGTTACACTTGATTAAATGACCATTATTGGTGCTTATGGTTTTTTTCCTTGATTTTTGATGCTAACATATAAAATTGTACTGTGTTCATTGGTTTCCCACAATGGCCAATTAATTTGGACCATTCCTCCCATGGAATACAACTGGAAAACTGAGGAGAAAAGCACATATTTAAAAAATATGCTAAAGGGAAGAAAGGTGGAGAAAGCACTGAAGGCTTACTAGGCCTGGAACAAGAGGCAGAAATCCAGAATAAGAAGTTAAGTACACTGTGCTTTTGTCCTGGGTGTGTCTGCTGGCTGAGACAGTGCCCGGGAGCCTCTCAGGGCTTGAGGGTAAAGCTGCAAAGGGCATATATGGGACACCAGGGATCCCTTGTGTTAATATGGGCCCCAAAGGCTGTCCCTTTAGAATCAGCCAGTTCTCCTATGGGTTACAGCTCTACTTTAACATACATGATCTGAAAATCTGAATACCAAAATCTGCATTAAGGTGCTATTTTAGGCCACTCTTATTGAGCATTATAATTGAAGACCTCGTCAATGTAGTCAAAAGAGAAAATAAATAAATATAGAAGGGTTTGAAGAGAGAGACAGAATTCTCATAAATTGCAAATTATAATATGTTGAATTCATAAAGTCCCAAATCATTACAAATCTTTGAAATTAATAAGTTTCAGGCTGGGACTATGGCTCAGTGGTAGCGCACCTGCCTGGCATGTGTAAGGCACTGGGTTCGATTCTCAGCACCACATATAAATAAATAAAATAAAGATCCATCAACAACTAATAAAATTTTTTTAAAAAATAATAGTTTCCTGTGGTTGCTAGATAAATATGTTTATTTTAGTGTTTTATATTTCAGAAGCAAACAGAATGTGAATTTAACAAAAATTGTTGACATAGTAAAAATACACTTTTATACACTTTTAGAATGAAACCTACAAATTTTCCACCATATAGCAAATGGAACATTTTATCAACCTTATTCAGTAGAGAAGACAATTAATTAACTGGAGAGAATTGCCAAGAATCTGGCTTGGGTTCAATATCACAATGGCATTAATTTCTGAAAATGTTCCAAGAATTCTAATAAATCTCAAGCAACTAGCCACTAGGCATTTTGAAACACTAGGTTAGCTGATTCTAAGCCTTATATGAATATTAGCCAAGGCAGTTTAATCAAGAAGAATACGGGACTGTATTCTCTTAGTAGATACCAAGACTTACATTGTAGTCATCATAAGCAGAGATATGGTGTTGATACAGAGATAGACAAATAGATCTTAGAGTAGAAAGACACAAACCAAACAACACACATGTAGACATTATGCATGTGTGACTGTGTGTATAATAGAGATAGAGGAAACATCCATACATACAAACTGGCATTATATGTAACATACATTGTTGATATATAACACTGTTAACATTAAGAGATTGATAAGAAAAACAAATTTTGAAGGAATGATTTCAGGGCAATTGGTTACCCATGTGTAAAAAATGGAATTGTATTCATCTCTTCCAAAATATTAATGTGGCAGACTACCTTCACTACCTTAGCAAAGGGAAATGTTTTTTCATTCAAGTGACAATAAAGCATTTACCCTAAAGAAAATGGGATAAAATTAAAGGTATTAAGTTTGAGACTCCAGAACATCTGGACATTATTCATTCTTTAGTGAACAATTGTAATGACTAAATGTCCTTCAGCAAAATCTGTGTAAGAAGAATATTCTCTGAAATGCATTACAGGGATATTTCTTGAAGGCAGCGGACTTCCACTCAAAGGATGGCATCTGACACATAAATTGGCTTTGGATAGAACTAGGTAAAAGTTCAGAAGACGTGGGTCTCAAGGTTGGTTACTAACCAGAACACCTAAAAGCATTATTATACCTACCTGTATTAAGTGGCACATCAACACCTTGGTGAGGAAAGCATCCTCCCAGCACTCTGAGGAGATATGGTGAGAAGAGAATTGGACAGAAGTTACATAATCTTTGCCTCTCATATTCCCATCTCTGAGCTGCTGTGGACACCTTCCTCTAGGATTTATCTGAGTTATATATCTGCGATACATCTTCAAATGGAACATTTTATCAACCTTATTCAGTAGAGAAGACAATTAATTAACTGAAAAGAATTGCCTTTCAAATTCTATACACAGCAGACTAGGATATTTACTGGCTCTAGAGTTTGCTTCAATTCTTGGCTGGTTTTGATTCACATCTAATACTGAAACCCTCTGCTCTGAGCCACTGCTTCTTCTCTCAGCTGCTCATTGAAATCCCCTGGCGAGTTTCACAAACATGATTGGTACCTGAATTGCTCTTTTGGTGAATCAGATTGAAGGGCTTAATGTGTGATCCTGGTCTTGGGCTATTTGAAGCTATCCCAGGTGACTTAAAGTGAGAATAGGTTTGAGAATTGTATGTTATCTGACTATTTTCATATGTCATTCTGGGAAAAGAAAAACAAATTGAGGTTGTTATCAACAGTTGGACAAGAGTGATAAACAGGTTTCAAGAGAAAATTTCAGTATGAAGGCCTTGTTCTACACAGTTCTAGGGTGTTATGGTTTGGATATTAAATATCCTCCAAAAGCTCATATGTTAAAGGCTTGATCACCAACTGACAGCACTTTGGGGGAGGTGGTGGAAATTCTAGGATATAGGACCTAGTTGAAGAATGTAGTTAAGTGCATGGGGGGGGGGGATGTACCATTGAAGGGTTGATATTGTCCCCAGCACCTGTTGCATGTTCTCTCTTCTCTCTTCTCTCTCTCTCTCTCTTCCTCTGTCTCCCCTGCCCCTTTCTGTAAAGTGAGCAGTTTTCCCTATAACATGCTCCCCACCATGATGTTCTGCCTCATTGCAAGCCCACAGGGATATAATCAAGCATTCATGGTCTGAAACTTCTAAAACTATGAGTAAAAACAAATCTTTCCCCTATGAAATTGTTTATGTCACATGTTTTTTACAGGTTAGAAAGATGACTAACACATAGAATAGTGTAGACAAGATTCCATGCATTTATCAAAACTCTTGGCACTATACATTACAAAGAATACACTTCAATATAGTCAAACTGATATATATATTCTCATTACATAAATTACTATGTATATGTATGTATAAGGTTCACTTTCTTTAATAGGAACAAGCACAACTATGATTTGCACTACAGTGCACATGTGCCTTAAGCCTGAATAGTTGTACATTGTTGACTCAAAACACTACCAATGTCAATATGCACAAATGCACACCAGAGTGAAATAATATCTCCCTCCATCTAAAATGAGTAGCAATTAAAATCAAGACTTCCTTAAGGGTACATAGCACCCCTCTTGAAAACTGAGAGGAAACTCCACAAATATACATATATACACACACAACTTGTAAAAGTAAAACAAACAAATATTCAAAAATATCACAAATTTATCTATGGCCAGTGTGTGTGTTTCATTTTTAGGTAATTGACACCAAGACAGAGCAAATTTATTAACTTGTAGCTGTCCTAAGCTAGAAATTAAAACAAATTTTCCAGTCTTGTGTCTTGTTCATCTGTGAGAAGAAGGACCTACATTTGTGGTCAATTTTGGTCTTCTGGGAGATCCTTCCTTTCTTTCTGAATTGAATCTCTTTGTTAATTCATGCATGTTTCCTCCTCTCAGCTCAGAAATCATTCAAGGTAACTAGAGTGTAAAGATTTAGACATTCTTAGTCTATTAGACAGGATTCCATTTCCAAAGATGGCAGACCAGCCTGTTTCAATCCCTCCCTACCCCCAGAAACAATAGTGAATTGGTCAGTAGGTAAGAAAATCCATGTGAAGGTGCTGGAGACACAAGATGGCACTGAAGACTCTATGAGACCAGAGTTCAGACGGAGGGAAATCCTACGCATGTGAGCGCTATATTTGGCCATACTCTGTTTCAAAGTATTTGTCAAGTTCATAGCAGTAGCTGGGAGCCTGAGAAAAACAGGACTTTCAGCAGATTCCACTGGTAGAGAAATATAATACTGGAGAATAGAGTTTTATAGATATAAAAATTAATGAACTATTGTTATAGCAAAAAATGGACGACCTCACCAAAAACAAACAAGTTCAAGTAAAATAAGGGTGTATGGAATCACTTGTGTCAAGCCAGCAAAAAGAAATTGGGGAAGCTCCATAGAGTGAGGTCTCTCTCACATGATTTGTCTCACAACAGGAATTAACACAAAGACACAAAAACTTGCCAAAACTTTGTGATTCGTGCTATTTTCACTCACAGAAAAAGTGTAAAATAGGCCTTACAGAATAGTATGTGAGGATAGCTATTGTTCACTTTTGAAATGGCATTTTTAGGGGATACAAGTTGAAATGAATACAGTTCCTGACCCTAGAGTTGTTTGTGGTCCACAGGACAATATCATCCATGGTAGGACAGTTACTACCATCATGGAGATCAAAAACATGGGCTGGACCTGGGCTTCTTAAACTTGCCTGAACATTGTGATCACCTAGGGGATTTTAATGGATGTTAAGGCCTAGTTCAAACCTAGCTTTACTATTCAAGTGGTTTTGGCTGTGGCCTGGTCATGGATAGTAACTACTCTCCAAGTGATTCTACTAATCAGCCAAGTTTGAGGATGATTCCCTGCACATTCCAAAGACCAAGGGATATATGTTTGGGACAAAGGAGGTTTACAGTAGAAGGACATTTCAGGTAAGCATGATTATTACTACTATTATCAAGGTAGAGTCATATATCATAAGTCACACTTTTAAAGTGTGCAATTCAGTAGTTTATAGCATAATCATGAGGTTGTACTACCTTCACTACTATCTTCATGGGATGATTTTGAGGATATTAAGAGTTGGGATGGTTGTAAGGCAGGGGCAGGAGCAATTCCCAGGAGGGAGACTTCTTAGTAGTAACATCCTGTTGAGACAGGGAGAGGAAACCAGGGGAGTTTGCTTTGACCTCAGCCCAGCAGAGATGTCACCAGAGAAATGGGGGGAAGCGGGTGATGCTAGACAGAAGGCTGTGGACTTTGATGGGAAGAGTAGAGGCAGCCTGTGTTTAAGTCAGCAGATGGGGCA